ACCTGAGCAGCATGCTCTGTGCAGCATTTCCCCCAAATTAAAGAGGAGGTGGTAGAATTGAACAATTCGCATGATGTGGTAAGGCAAGCATCACTTGTTCTTGAATATGGAGAGCCTTCATGGGATACGAGCACATGGTTACAGAGCAGGAATTACAATGTAGTAAAATTATGAATAAAAATTGCAAGTGAATAACAATTGAAACAAAAGATCTATAATGTCGATCGAAGACGATTGGTAAATGTAAAAATGACTAGTGTGGATTGCAAGTGAAATACAAGCAGAGCCAGTAAAAGAAATAAATGTCTCAATAACATTGTTCGAAAAACATTGTGAGTTGGTAGGCTTATTTCTGAAACCGATGTGTCTTCCCCACTCTTGCCAAAATGGTTTTACATAATTTCATTGATAAAACAAGTGGAGAAGCGATTCAATGTTAACATCACAAAGTGAACAGCGATTTTGGGTGGAGTCATTTTGTATAGTGTTTCATTTGTGAATTCAAGATTATGACTGAGTTTCCAATGGAAAGTTTTGTATCGATAGTTAATCCAAATGTTCTACTGTATGCATTATCCCAGATAACCATTTCACTGAGTAAGTTAGTGAAATATGTATCACTTCTGGGAGAGATAAAATACTTAGTTGAGATACTTTTAGTAACATTTTTGCTTGTACAACTATTTAGATGAACTGATTTGTTGATAAATTGGACATACATATGTTCATCCTCTGGTTGCTTGAAAGTAGTCATTTCAGCTGAGTTCCACACAGATTTTGGCACATCACTGACTATGTCATACCATTTAAGAAAACATTTGTCATGGATTTCCTTTTGTTTTGCAGCTTCCCATTGCAAGATTTTACCTCTGTCATCAAATAATTGACCCACATACACTGTACATCAATCCTGCATTTGCCAAGTCATTATAATAAAAGCTTTTTCGACCAATCAAAAGTTTACAATGGTTCCAAATACAATCATTTAAGACAATATCTAGTTCATAAGACTAATATTTCAGTGAAATCCAAGTATGAAGCATGCCCCTGTAAAATGGTGATAATTTAATTGTTAGGATTATAGGGTTAAATTTACACTTGAGTAAAAGATTAATGTCCCCTAGAGGGCGTAATTTGCGATAAAGAAAAAGATTCCAAGTCTGTGAAACTGTGTTGTCGCAGTACCTCCTTAACCAGTTAAGGCGCTGAGCTTTATATATAGAAAATAAGTCTGTCATTGACAGGCCCCCATCTTTGACCTCACCTACAGCTGTTTTCCCAGCAATTTTGTCTGGCCCATTCCAAAGGAATTTGAAAATGAGTTTGTTAATTTCTTTGAGGAATTGTTTAGGGGCATCAATTTGGTTAAGTATATACGTCAAACGGGAGATTGCAAGGGATTTAATAACCTGAATTTTCCCTGAAAGTGTTAGTTGCCTCATTTTCCAAAAGTTTAGACTGTTTTTTAAACTTTGAAGTGGCCCTGCTATAGTCTGATCAAATGCAAGTTTTGTGTTGTACGAAATACATATTCCCACAATTATGACTGTTTTAGTCCATGAAATCCTAAGCGGTTTATTAAATCTATCTTTCCATTGCCCCAGCCACATGCCTTCACACTTGTCCAGCTTGACAGACAATCCTGAAATTAGCTGAAATTTATCTAACAAAGTGAACAGACTATTCAAGGAATCAATATCATTAACAAAGCAAGTCAGGTCATCTGCAAAAGTGGCATTTTTGATTTCAGTATTGTCAACTGAAATTCCTTTAATATCATTAGATGATCTGAGTTTGATTAAATAAATTTTGAGACCTAGGATAAAGAGTAGTGGAGAGATTGGATCGCCCTGGCATACGAAGTAAAGGGAATTAGCCAGTAGTTGTCCCATGATTAATCACACAGCTAGAGATATTGGTAAAGAGCAATTTTACCCATTTGATGAACCCCTCCCCAAAGTTGAATGTGCTCAGCACTTGGATCAAATAATTCCATTCTAATTTATCAAAGGCTTTTTCAAAGTCAATACAGACCAAAATGCCGTGTAAGTTTTCTTCAAATGTATATCTGTTTTTCACGAAGGCTGTTTGAAATTCATGAATGATGTCGGGGAGTGCTTTTTCTAGGCGTTTAGCTAAACATTTGGATCCTATTTTATAATCACAGTTCAGTAGAGCTGTAGGACGCCAGTTTTTGATAAATCTAGAGTCCTTCCCCTTTTTTTGGATTATAGTAACAACTCCCTGTCTTTGGGAGGGTGAAAATTCACCTTAAATAAAAGCTGTATAAGTTTCTTGTACTTACCAATAAACTCTCTAAAGATAATGTTCTTTACGAAGCAGTTTGGTCGGATATTTTATCCTTGCCTGCTGATATTAAGCCTTTCTATTATTGTTGTAGGAACTGATTATGTATTGTATTGTTCAGGGCCACAAACTACATGTAGATCTGTACATGAAGTACATGAGAAGTAAAGTTGTTGACACGAGTAATGTACACCAAGGATCATTGCAGTTTCTCAGTTCCTCATCTGGTGCTAGTACTTGTATGACAAATGGTATCTTTGCCCTCTTACTGTTTAAAATATTAGAAGATTTTTGCTGGAACAGTTCTGTGATTGACAGTGTTCTTGTATTAGGAATACAGTTGTACAAGGAAGTTTATCCAAACGAACACAACACTGACTTTTCAACATATTTGCAGATCTGATTTGCATACTTGCATGTCATTTTACCTGTTGTACTTGTTTGTTGCTCTCTGGTGTTCTTGCTGAGACCAGGATGGAGAGTGCTATAAACTTGAAAATGCCATAGAAATCATGTTTGCCAATTTACATCCATGCCAAAAACTGGACTAATTATATGCTGCAACCTTCAAATGACAACAAGTGAAGGCAGTGTCATTCATGACCTGTTTGATTGGATAAATTTTTACGACTTGGAGGCCATTTTTTCCCTCAAAAATCTGTTACCAGCTTTTTCTCAGATATGTGTCATCCAGTTTTGTTCAAAGTTGGTACAGGGACAGGTAATAATTGTTTACAAGTGCACATCGCATTATATGTTTAACAAGTTATAAATTGTCTCAGAAAAGCCAAATGAATAAATTTTTACCCCACCCCCTAAAATTGTAACACATCATGTTTGTGCATGTGTCCATCTGTTCCACTGATATCTCAAGAAGCATTTGTTGGTTTTTGATATAACTTGATGCATAGATCTCCAGTGCAGATTTGATTAGGGTTTGGTTTAAATTTATTATAATATTTAGCTGTTTTTTTTTTATTTTGATTAAACTTGGTGCATAGATGCTCTGGGAAAATTTGCTGACCTGATTTGTTTTGGGTAAAACCATACATAATAATTACCTAATTTGCATAATTAGTACAGGCTTTTCCTCTGATATTTCAAGTAGTAATCATCACATTTCAATAAAACTTGCTACATGAATGCTCTAGGACCATACACAGACCTGTTTAGTTTGGGTTTAAATCTGTGCATATTAATTACCTAACTTTTCAGCTTTTTCATCGTATCTCTAGTTCTCATCACATTTCAATGAAACTTGGTACATAGATGGTCTCTGACATTGCGCAGACCTTATTAGCTTTACATTAAAATCTGTGCATACTAATGACCTGATTTGTATAGTAATCAATATCTCAAGTACTTATCTTATTTCGATGAATCTTGGTACATAAATTCTCTAAGACAATGCCATGACCTAATTAGTTTTTTGTTTATATACATCTATAATATTAACTTGGATAATAATTATTTTTATTAATCATCACATTATAATGAAGGTACATATGTGCCCTGGAACAATACACAATGCATAATAATTGCCTAATTCGCATAATAATAACCCCAATCTTATTTTGATGAATCTTGGTACACAAATCCTCTAAGACAATGCAATGCAATGACCTAATTAGTTTTTTGTTTATATACATCTATAATATTAACTTGGATAATAATTATTTTTATCAATCATCTAATTATAATGAAGGTACATATGTGCCCTGGAACAATACACAATGCATAATGTATAATAAGTCCATAATTAGCATAATAATAACCCCAACCACATTGAGCGGAGCTAATCATATTACTGATTGTCCGTCGTCATCCACCAAATTTTTTGACTTATTTGAAAATATAATTTTTTACCAAAAACAACAAAAATATTCATCAAATTTAGAGAATTGAAAAGAGAGAGAGGTTGACAACATGTATAAAAAGTTAACATGTTTCATAAACATTTTCAATAATAAAAGAATAGTCCTAGTGTAGAATAGCCGCCAAGAATGCTCTCAAAAATGAATGAGACAGTTTACGAATGGGTTAAAACTTAGGAGAGATGCTACGAAAGATACAGTTATATTAAAGGTCAAAATTACCTAATTTGCATAATCATGAGATTTTAATGAAACTTCGTATATAAATGCTCTGGAGTAATTCACAGACAGGATTATTTTAATGTTATGTAAAAACCTTGAATATTGATTACCTAATTTTTATTAGCCGATTTCTGGTATTTCAAAAAATTTAACTGAAATACGTACATCAGACTACAAATCAATCGAATGTTATAAACTATCATATAATGTGAATCACATTGTTTTTATGTTGTGCATTTCAAATAGCAGACCTATATTAGTTACCAAACTTCTTGTTTGAAATGCTTATCCAAAATTTTGGATTGATTTTAAATATGCCTCCAAGGCTTTCAGAACACAAGGGTTTTTACAAGCTTTCTTTAATTAATATGTTATATTAACTCAAATTAAAACTAGCTTTAAAATACAGACTTTGTCTGTATATCATTGCTTTCCCACTGCTTTCCCACTGAGCACATGGAATCTGCATGTATGATGCAATTTAAAATTAAGGTGTGAAAAATGTTTGAAGAAGATAGTAACAAAAGTATTCTAGCAAAGAATTGATCACCATGAATACAAATCTTTATAAGAAAACCTTCTTTCTATTCTTTCCAGTCAATTTCAATTATCTTTTTCGAATGTATGCACTTGAAATGAAGACAGACAGAGGAAAGCGAGCTCTGGATATGTCTCTGCATACACTGAGACTCATGGCAAATGGTGGAATGTATGATCACATCGCACAGGTACATGACATGTTTTCTTTCCTATAAACAGTATTTGATACTGGCTAAGTTTATTTTTCGTTACTGAATGAATGGAACGATGCTTTCACTTGGGGACAAAGGTGCCTTTGTAACGTTAGTAAGAATATAAGACAATGATTCCACCGGAGGACAAAAGTGGAAGTATAGGGTGATTGTCTCACTGGACGACAAAGGTGCCACTCTAATGTTAGTGAAAGTATAGTGTGATGGTATTACTGGGGGACAAAGGTGCCATTCTAATGTTAGTGAAAGTATAGTGTGATGGTCTCACTGAGGGACAAAGGTGCCACTCTAATGTTAGTGAAAGTATAGTGTAATGGTCTCACTGGGGGGACAAAGGTGCCACTCTAATGTTAGTGAAAGTATAGGGTGATGGTCTCACTGAGGGACAAAGGTGCCACTCTAATGTTAGTGAAAGTATAGGGTGATGGTCTCTCTTGGGGACAAATGTGCCACTCTAATGTTAGTGAAAGTATAGGGTGATGGTCTCACTTGGGGACAAAGGTGCCATTCTAATGTTAGTGAAAGTATAGTGTGATGGTCTCACTGAGGGGCAAAGGTGCCACTCTAATGTTAGTGAAAGTATAGTGTAATGGTCTTACTGGACGACAAAGGTGCCACTCTAATGTTAGTGAAAGTATAGGGTGATGGTCTTACTGGACAACCAAGTGCCACTCTAATGTTAGTGAAAGTATAGGGTGATGGTCTTACTGGGGGACAAAGGTGCCATTCTAATGTTAGTGAAAGTATAGGGTGATGGTCTCACTGGGGGACAAAGTGCCACTCTAATGTTAGTGAAAGTATAGGGTGATGGTCTCACTGGGGG